AAATGACAAGGGAATTCGAGTAAACACATTCTATCCCACGATTCGACATCCTATTAAACGCGCTCGCTGTGAATGGCTCAACGCGTCACACGAAGCGGACTTGTACACATCTAGTACAACACCTGCAGTCGAGGCAACCAATGCTAACACCATCACCACTACCACCACCAACACCACCTCTGCCGCAACATCAGTGGACACCTCAGTACGCACCTCGATCACCTCCGTCACAGATGTTCTCAGGATAACCAATACGAAGCGTCAAAGCGAAAACACCCAGTTCCAAAGTTCACCTGTTAGACATGATGCAGAATTGGTTCAACGGTTTAGCGGTTCTGCATTCCTTGCTGGTATTCCTTTGGAGAGACCTACCATGCAAGATATGGATCCGGAGATCAATACAGATATCGGTCAGGATGTGGCTATGAATAGTCTACCGAAGAAAATGAAGCTTCACCGTGTGACCGAGGCACTAGAAAACTCTTCAAACGCCGTTGGTGCACGGGGTCAACGGAGTGTGCACACGTCCAAGGTAAGAGTAAAACGAATTACAAATACTGGACTAATTTATATCATACAGAGTGATTTTTTTATTACATCCAAGAGTGATGAACAGCAGACGGGGTAAACGCCATAGTTACAAGTGTTGTGTTTCGACTAGCCGTACGAATGACAAGAGCGACTCTTGCTCAACCCCACACGATAAAGTGAAGAGAGAACACAGCTTGAGACCACCGTTAGTGTGTTCAGTTAGATTTCGATACGCAACAATGTAGCACAATCAAGTATACGAGAAGACTGCCAGGGACGTCCCAGTCAAAATATGGCCTTGGCATATCGATTGATCGATCCAATTGATCAAATCGTGCTCAGCTTGTCTGGAGCATTTCGAGCGTGTGTGTGGCCTGACTCGAATGTGTGCGCGATCTGACGGGTTGTTTGAGCTCCGGGCTAACAACAAGGGCCTGTTGTTCAGTAGTGAAAACCGGCAACCTAGGCTCCGGGACTTGGAGTGGCGAACCAAATAAGGCCCTTATAGGTTAGGTGGGCTATTGAACCGGACGATAGCAGAGCTGCCTACCATCAAAGTCGGGTGGCGGTGGCGGGGCTTTAACCTCAGACCATAGGGTGTAAAGCACGCCAGTAATAGTGAATAAACCACTGCGCCACCACCACCCTAAGAAACCTAAGTTTTCCGTTAATATAACAAACACTGCAAGTCGGATGTGTTGATGAAAACTGCCTCATACAGAGTCTAGGTGTGAGTATCTTTTAAAAGAGGGAAACAGTTAGAAAAGGTGGATGAAAAGAATGACATGGACAACTCAGGATCATATGCGGTTCTAAATGCGACGGACACAGGAATAGACTATGCAGAGTGAGTTAGGAGACGGGATAGTTTTCAGCATTAAAGAACGTTGTATTGGGATGGTCTAAATGGGTTGACATTTTACTGGCACATCGTCAGGAAGGAATCAATGGATTTTAGCACCCACAATTAAAGGATGGTGGGGCTATAGTGAGAAGCAGTTTTCACCTTCCAATACTAACATCAACTGAACCACACTCTTTAGTTGGTTTGAAGCAGAGAAGTGCTTAAATGTTTCAAGTAACCGTGCAAAAGATTGTTCTACTTTTCTGGTTATCCCCTTTTGGTAGGAACGTGAGTGAAGTCGCTTGATATCACCAAAATATGTACTTGCCTACAACTCACGTTCTGAATGTAACTGTTAGCTTATCATGACGATCTACTCAAAATCATATAAGCGAATAAACAATCGCTGCACAGGGAAATTTTTTGTCGAAAATCATCTCTTTCGTTCTATGTCATGAGTTATTGCAAAATGTTATTTGTGATCCAATTTGGAAGATTCATTTAATTTTCAAAATTCTCCTAACAGCAATCCGAACTGGAAAATCCGTCCTCAACTATTCACGGTCCTCGTTCGACAACGTCCTCCGCGTTCACGGATATCAATCCTTCCGATGGACAGTATCCGTGCGCGAATATGCAACCGGAAAAACTGGGTTCATTGAGAGCCAAATCGGACGACAACAAAAGTTTGTCAATGGATAATGCCTGGTCCAGTGGCTACAATATGCAAGTACGTTCTGATCAGTAGTGATCGGTCAGTATCAAGTTTCGTGACCAAGTCATATCTTCTGGGGTTGGTGATTAGATGATCAATATCCGTAACTAGCAACATTATAACCATGTAACTAGCGGTTACTGGGATATGATGATTGTGAGATCCCGGGATCAGTTTGAAGTTGGGACGACTGATCTGAAGCGCTCATAACGCTCAATAGCGTAGAAGTAATCAACTACAGTGTGTTGTAAAGGTTTTCCGCAAGCGTTAACTGAATGGTTTACAACAGTAGTGTAGTGACATTATAGGAGTAGTATCTTATAGCAACTAGTGGTGGTCATCTGAAATCTGCATTTACTTGAAGACTGAACACCCGAGCCATTCTATGAGGTTCTTGGTGTGTCCGAAGTATCATCTTCAAGGGGCAGAGATACTTTCCACTGTTGTACCCAATTTCCATTGAGAAACATTTATCCGCCGTTCAGCAGGTTGGTATCAAGTTTCTATACTACCGATTCGAGCAGACTACCACGCCATCATTTTTACTCTTTCACCATGATATATATTGATAGGAATGAAGCTAACGCCACAGTTACCACCCTCGTGACTAACTGTCTATTCACCGTGATTTCCATACATTCCAGAAATGGGACGCATACGCGGCTACATGCTCATGAATCAAACACAGATCCCGTGAAGCGACTGAACCTGGATGCTGGGCTGTGACACAGGAGTGGACCAATCGAAACGGGCTGAAAATACACACACACACACAGACATGCAAACGCACAGAGAAGAAGTGACAAACGCGTTTGTGCACAACACACTGACTGACTGACTGACCAATCAATCCATCCATGACCTATCTCTTCTCTCTTGTTTCTTTGTTTTTGTTATGATGACTAAAGTCACTATCAATGACACCTCATCATTTTGGTTTTGCAGCTTGATTATTATTATTATTATTATTATTATTATTATTATTATTATTGAGTCCTGTGCTCGCGTGTACACATTCCCCAATACGAATGTATTTGAAAATACGTTCGATTTGTAAACAATCTGTTCGTGATCCATTATACAACAGATATTGTGAATGAGAAGCGAAACTCATACGAACTTTATCTGCGTATCATACGAGAAAGGTGATACATGTATGCTTGTTCAATTGCCGCTTTGTCTTCTGTTTTATGTTGTTATTATTCTCACCTCCCAGTCAGGATGGGTTGTTTCTATCAGCGCATGTTCTTCGGGAGCCGAAAAGCTCGATGCATTCGGTGAGACAAATCAGTTAGCAACAGGGAAGATATGCTGGACTTAGAACTGGACAGAGTACCATACAATCTTATTTATCCATGTAGAGAGAGAGAGAGAGCAGTTTGTTTTGAATGGACCGGCAGTTGGATAGTCAAGTCAAGTCAAGAAGAACGTTATGCACTCAAAGGGTGAATTTTCAGCAGTTTTCGATTTTTACAGCGGGTAGGTATAACAATTGCAAACAAAAAAGACAATAGAAGAAATTCTACACTTTAATAAATGAGAGAAAAATTATGGCAAGAG